GTAACATATTAAAGTGCAAAGCTCATATACCATAATTAGATAAAAATGTTTTGAATGTACGTTAGTAAAAAAACAAACACTATACTCGTGAGAACCATACCTTAAAAATATGTTATACGAAAAGTCGTATCCATACTTTTTTAACCTCTCAGGTACCAAAATGAACCATTTTTTAACTACATTTATCAACTTACATCTTGAAATATTTCTTAGAACTGTATTGTTCTGTTGATTTCTTTTGATGCTTTAATCTATCTAAATATTAGTAAATGTCTAAAAGTTCCGTTAGTTGCAATATTTTTTCCAAAAACTATGTTTTTAAATGTATGTAATTTTTGACCCAAATTTTTGAGTTATTTTTGTTTAACTCCTACTCAAGATATATGTAATATAGTGCTGCGATACTTTTGTAATACATAGTTTATAAGCTTAAGTTTCTAATAAACAAAGCATCTTAGTCCATATCGGCATAAGTCATTTAAAATTAGGTTGAAATATTATACCCACTTTTGAGGACTTGTTAAGTGGCAGTTCTTTGTGACTATATTAAGAACATGTGTTGTGTAAAAAATATGTATGGTGGCACTTGAAGTTTGAGTTGTATTTTATACCTAATGTGATAAGTTGTAAATAAAATATTTTATGAACTTCCAAATATTGTTGTAATTAAAATTATAACCGAAACTTATCTAAATATCATAGTACCCTATGTTGAAAGTTCTATGTTAGCTATAATTGAGTATTTATATAGAAATGGTTGAAAGTGAATAAAGATTATTCAATTTACAATAAGATTTTTAACTTGAATTGACTTGATTCCTACTAGATACGGAGAAAATCCAGTTACAGTAAAAGTCTATTTCAAAAATGGGCTGTCTGTTGACCATACCGGCTCCCGGTATAACAGGTAATGCAAAATGGGCTAATGTCATTCAACATACAAGATTATGGTTCCTTCTGAGACACTGGAATGGTTCTCTACCTATCTTCAGGGGCGAAAGCAATGTGTTCGTGTTAATGATAGATCATGAAGTTGGTGCGACCTCTACGCTGGAGTCCCACAAGGCGGCATTTTATCTCCTCTTTTATTCTCAATATTTATTAATCTCATAACTCAACATCTTCAGTGTGTATGTCACCTGTATGCCGATGATCTGCAGCTGTATTCTCAAGCAAGAGTGGAGGAACTAACGCAGGCTATTGACGAAGTGAACAGGGACCTAAAATCCTGGTCGAAGAGATTTGGACTGTCGATTAACCCAACAGGCAATTGTAGTAGGCAGCAAACGTTTAATGAGCACATTGGATACTACCTCTATCTCACCGGTCGTCTTTAATGGCACAGTTATTCCATTCAGCCCTACAGTCAAAGACCTGGGCTTGCTCATCGACTCAACCCTCGATTGGCGAGCTCAAGTTACTAGCGTGAGCCAGAAAGTAACTGGAAACCTGCGAACATTATATCGTCTAAAGAATTTCCTGCCTAATAAAACTAAAACCACACTCATGCAGTCCTTAATAATTCCAATAATTGACTATGGTGATGTATGTTACTTCGACCTGAATGCAGTCCTTCTTAATAAACTGGACCGTCTTCTCAATAACTGCATTCGATACATTTTCAATCTTCGGAAGTGTGACCATGTGTCTGCTTTGCGCTCCCAATTAAACTGGTTACCTATGCGACTTAGAAATAGATCCTGAAAAGTTTAAAACATATGCTGAACATGCACAACATATGGGCCAATTAGCAGAAGAAGCTCAAGAAGCAAACAACAAAGAATATCGGAGGAATCGCGAGTATTTCAGCAGAAAAATGAGCAGCATAAACACCAATCGAGATGTACTTAACCGATCCCTCATTGTTTCGGATCCACTTCTATCTTTCAAATCAACGGTGCAAAATCAATCAAACAATCACACTGCTGAATGCACCGAACATGAATATATTAAGAATGTGTAAAATATATTTCCTGAACATTTAGTAGGTAGTTACCTAGTTACAACCTAGAAAACCAGCCGTACCGTAAGTGTCCACGTTTCAGCTCCGTATGTCATGACGGGTAGGACGCACTCATTAAAGACTTTCGTCTTAAGGCACTGTGGGATCGACGATGAGAAGACTCGACGTAGCTTCCCAAACGCTGCCCAACCCAACCGAATTCTTCTGTTCACCTCGTCCTCGAAGTTGTTTCTACCTAACTGCAATGTTTGCCCGAGGTACACATAATTTTGAACAACTTCGAGAACGGCACCGTGTACCGCAATCGGTTCCGGTAGTACATGTTCGTTGAACATGACCTTGGTTTTATCCAAGTTCATCCGTAGGCCGATGCGTACAGAAGCGTCAGCTAGGTCATTCAGCATTTGCTGTAGGTCCTGCAACGTCTCTGCCATGATGACGATGTCGTCTGCAAATCGCAAGTGAGAGATGTATTCGCCATTGATATTGATGCCACGCCCTTTCCAGTGCAGCGTCTTGAACATGTCCTCCATTGCATTTGTGAACAATTTCGGGGAAATAACGTCCCCTTGTCTCACTCCTCGATGCAATGGTACGGGCCATGTTTGCTGATTCTTAACTTGGACGGACATGGTGGCGGCTTTGTAGAGACATCTCATCACTTGGATGTATCGCCAATCTACTTGGCAACGTTGCAGGGACTCCAGAACAGACCAGATCTCGATCGAGTCAAAGGCTTTCTCATAGTCCACGAATGCTAGACACAGGGGCTGATTATATTCTTCGGTCTTCTGTATAATCTGCCGCACTGTGTGGATGTGGTCTATGGTGCCATATCCGCTCCGAAACCCAGCTTGCTCCGGTGGTTGGAATTCGTAGAGTCTTTGCGCAAGACGGTTCGTGATGACTCTCGAAAACAGCTTGTAGATGTGGCTTAGAAGGGATATGAGTCGATAGTTCTTCAACCTGGTCTTGTCACCCTTTTTGAAGAACAAGACGACCACACTCCTACTCCACGCTTCCGGAGTTCTCCCTTCAAACAGGACAGCGTTGAAGAGCTTTTGGAGCTCCCTTAGTACAGGTTTACCCCCGGCCTTTAGCAGCTCTGTTGTAACGCCGTCCTCTCCAGGGGCTTTCCATTTTTCAGCTGTCCAAGAGCCATCTCGATTTCGTCAATGCTAACTTCTGGCAGGTCTTCGGTGTAGTGACGTGTTAATGTGGCTCTAGACTCCTCATTTTCGGGATCAGGTCGAGATGCATGGGAAGCGTATAACCGGCCATAGAAGCTTTCCACTTCCAAAAGGACTGCCGGCTTCGAAGCAACGTCTTCTCCACTTTCTGTGGTCAACTTTGTCAGGTGGCTTCTTCCAAGAGATTGTACGAACACTTTTGACCCCCGATTTTGCTCGATCGCTCTTTCAATTGAAAGAGTATTGGAGCACCGGAGGTCGTGTCGTACGAGTTTACTGATCTCTCGGTTTAGAGTCCGCTTTGCCGACAAAGTGACAGGTGGGTTTTCACGTCGTTTCTTCATCAGCCCTAGGGTCCCTTTTGAAATCTTCGACTTCCTGCCCTTACGCTGCATTTCACAAAATCTCGTACCTTCTTCCCTGAGGATCCGAACCACATTTTCGAGGTTCTGGTTTACGTCGATTGTGGTTTCCACGGCAGCGAATCAGTTTTCCAGTTTTGACTGGAACGTTTCAGATCCTGTCATGGCTTGGAGCAGAGTCGGTCGGAGCCTGGATTTCATCAAACAGACACGTTAGTCAAATGTATTCTTGTTCATTCTAAATTTTTGAAAAAAAATCTCATTGTACCTTCTAAGTTTAGGATAATCAGTACGAAATGGGCTCTGACTTTTGTTTTTAATTAAAGGATGTATCCAATAAATTCTATTTCGGCGGATACGCTGGCGTCGTCGCCGGCGTCGTCGTAATAAAAGCCATAACAAGGATAGCAACAAAAATCACTCCTCCATGACTACGTACAGTCAAGACGTGTTTCTTCTATGAAAACCGGTGTATAACTGAGCATTGCATATGACGGAACCACATCGCAACTACTAGCGACAACGCAACTACATCGATGTGCCGTCGGTACCACAACGCAACTGCAAAAAGCTGAAGCGGCACTATTCACATGGAACCACATTCTGTCGCTGCGTCGTGGTTTGGTTGTGGTACGTGTAAAACAAGCCTTATGGCTGTTTTTTGGGAATGTTTACTAGATCGTATTAACGCCACAAGTAAAAAACTTCAGAGTGTGGAAATGTACATTACCATTGTCATAGAACTGTACGAGGCTTTAATACATTTTGTTGGCGAACCAAGAGAGAATTTCGATGATTTCGAAAAAAAAAAGCGAAAAAACTGTTCTTCGTACAGGAATATGAAAAAGATTTTCGACGCAATCGAAAGCGTAAGCTGCCTCCTGGCGAGACAAATACATGTGAAGAGATGCAACAAAAAAATGGTCGTGAAAATTTTAGAATAAATACTTTTTTGGTAGTAATTGATACATTATCAGAAGAACTGAAACGACGCCGGGACACTTATAAATTACTCTACAATCAATTTTACTTTATTACAAACCTGACGAATCTTAACATCTCAGAAGTCGATGATAAGGCCAAGGCATTGCAAATGATTTATTCTACTGACTTAGAAGACAATTTTACAGAAGAATGTCTTCATTTTCGTTCTCACTGCAGCATAAAAAATGAGGAGCGAAAGAGTGCAGTCAGTTTGTTGAAATGGTTACGAACCATTTACCTAAACGTCTTCAAACCATTTATCTAAACGTGGATATTGCTCTTCGTATGTGTGTGTCTCTAGACCCGCCAGTAACTGTACATGAGAATGATCGTTTTCTTGTTAAACCTAACCTGTTTTATTTAAATGTCCAATCCAATTATAAACTAGCTTTATAAGCTAGCTTTCAGTTAAACTATTTTTTTTATCAAAAGTGGGAATAAAATAAATTCATGAATTATGTATCTAGTCTATAATTATGGGTGCTGAGAAAGGGGCGGCACATGGCCTGGGGCCTAGAGCGGCTAGGACTGCAAATCCGCCACTGGGTTAAAGTGAGTGCTGAACAGAACGGTCGTATAGAATATAAATACGATTTGGATGAGGGCCCATGTACAATAATTGTTGTAAGAACTGGTAGGCGAAATCAGCAACCCTTGGAGAACGAATTTGAACTGAAAAAGGCTTATAATGGACCCTTGCCCATTCGCAAAGACAAATACAAAGATTTGACAGACTTGCAAACCTGGGATCATTCCTTATCTTACACTGATTCTACTAATTTGATTGACCAAGAATGTATCGAAGATTAAATTTGCTTCCCTGATTTTTTTACTTGTTACCTAAACTTTCTAGTCATAATAATTGGGTTCTTGGTGACATAAATATGGGTAACAATAGAAAAATCGATTGATAATATTATTATGATTAAGAATGGGTCATATATTTAAGAATGGGTGTATATTTAAGGAGAATGTGGTATATATTTAAGAATGGGTCAATAATTGTCTTTAATCTTTAAGGTTGTTAAGTTTTTATGATAATTATTATTATAATTTGTTGCAGTGATCTCGGGCTTTTTTAACACGCTTTTATTAGCTTCACCTGTATGTTTGTTTGTTTGTATGTAACCGACTCCTTTGAGCTCGATTTTGCCCTACTTTGAACGATCAGATTTGATTCAAACTTTGCACACCTGTCAAAGGTCGATGACAATGCAATAATCCGATCAAAATATCCGATTATCCTAATTAGATTCGCCAGGATTAATTAATTTCTTTCCGCATCCTTTGCATGCGAGTAAGAGAGACAGAGCTAGTGCGCGAACTACGCATGCGTGCAGTTCCAGACTTGCTCTTTCGGTCGCCAGGATTAATTAATTTCTTTCCGCATCCTTTGCATGCGAGTAAGAGAGACAGAGCTAGTGCGCGAACTACACATGCGTGCAGTTCCAGACTTGCTCTTTCGGGCACTCAGTTCAGCACAACCTTATAAAAACTAATATGGTAGTTGCGTCTTGTTCCTTATACTTACATATATGTCCCGACAAATCTAATACGCATTCTATTATCATTTCATAATATCCATAATATATTTATAACCGTGATTTACAGAAAAAACTTCGTATTCACAACAAAACAAAATATTAAGGACAGATATATCTATTTATTTTGCGGCATATAATTCAGTTACCAGCATGAGCTTGGATCTGCAGTCGATAAGGTCACCAAAAAATGAATGAAACGAAATTACCCGTAAAACGAAGGACAATATTGTAAACGTGGGTCATGAATTAAAAGCAGAAGAGTTTGCCTGGTACTATTTGTTTCCCTATGGAAAAAACGGCTTTAAAGAGGATAGACCTGTAAAAATTACAGCATTGGACTACTTTCAGTTCAGAATCTTGGGAAGCGACACAAGATTTCAACGTAACGACTATCTCTTTTATGCCCTGACGTTCTTTGAATATTATCGAGTTAAAAGCACAATAACCGCGTGCGGAAAGAAAATTGTTAATCAAGAAGGTGCAGTCGAAGACGTCCATCTTTATGTAAAGAATTTGAGGGGTTCTGCAGCCTATTTGAGATCAGCTTTAAACGAGCTATTAGCTCAAATCAGATGCTTAGGAGCCCCAACCCACTTCGTAACATTTAGTTAAAATGACCTTAATTGGTTGGATCAACAAAAAGCTTTATTAATTGCTGATGGTAGACCTGATGTCGATCCAAGTACACTTGATATTTATGCGACTCAACAACTTATCGAAAAGTACCCAGTAATTTTGAGTCGACATTTCATGGTAAGAGTAAATGCTCTAATGAAATTTATTAAAAACAATGACGAAGTATTTGGCGGAAAAGTAAAGGACCATTGGTGGCGAATTGAATTTCAAAATGGTGGAAGTCCTCACCTTCATATGGTAGTTTGGATTGAAAATCATCCAGAGTTTGACACAGAGGAAGGGAAACTTCTCCTTGATCGTAACTGTTCTTGTAGGATGCCTGCAGAAGAAGAAGACCCAGAACTCTATGAACTTGTCAAAAAATGCCAAATTCATCGTCATACACAAACTTGTACAAAAAATAATACCTCTGTGAGATGTCGATTCAACTTTCCACGTCAAGAATGTGACGAGACTCGAATTGTGTCACATTCTTCAGATGATTTTCTCCGTAATGGTGGCAGAATTTGTTTACTATAGCGTCGAAAAGAAGATGCTTGGGTAAATAATTTCCACCCACAATTAATGAGACTGAGGACAGGTAACATGGATATTCAACCATGCGGATCAAACGAAGCGATAGCGTACTATATCGCAAAGTACTTATCAAAAGCAGAACCTGAAGGTGTAGATTCTGGAATAGCGCAAGCAATACAGCAAATTCAACGTGAAGAGTCTGATATTTCACGTAAGCTGTTCAGGATATGTATGAAAATTCTTAATGAAAGACAGGTATCAGCTGCAGAATGTGCGTATCGACTTTGTCATATCCCGTTACGGGACAGTTCGCGGAGTTGTATTTTCCTGAACACAGCGTTATAAAGTATTGCGGTTTGACCAAAGCGGCCACGTAACTTGATGTTATAGTAATATCTTTGAAAGATATGAAAAACGGCCGTTACAACATCCTGAATACGATTTTGCGGAAATGAGCCTTACAGAGTTTGCGATGCTGTTTGAATCTTTCTATTCCAAAAAGATAAGTGAAAACGAGGAAAGTGTTGATCATGATGCCTATGAAGAACAACCAGACATACGCCGCCCGCGCATCACGCTGTCAGACGGGAGCAAAATGGTCGTGCGAAACGTACCTGCAGTTGTCAGAGTTCCATATTTTATAGCAACATCGGATCCGATCACGCTTTTTTACTGTAATGTACATTCATTTTTTTTTTACACTGTACTTAATCAAACTTAATCAAATTTACACTATTCTTAATCCAAATTTATTAAACTTTATTTTCTGTTTTTTAGTTGGATTTTCTATAAAAGCGTGTTTTTTTAGTTTTTTTAAACTATTATTTATTGTGGAGAATCTTAGAATTTAGATTCCTGAGATTTTAACATCTAGTAGGTAATCCTTAAAGGATTTTTGTACTAAACTATTTCATTAATGAAACAAAGACTGTTTTTTTTAAATATTGCTATTGTTTGAGTTATTATAGTTACTACATAGATGGTAGTAATTAATTTATAATCTAAGTCACAGTGATCTCAGTCAATAGTAGTAAGTTAAGCGAGAAATGGTAGATAATTAAAACAAGAAATATAATTCACTTACTATAATATATTTTTTTTAAATTAAATTTGATGCTTTCTAAAGTAGAGACCATATTGTGACAGCTTTTGTTCAATATAACGTGCATTATTTTTGAAGTGTTCAATACCTACCTCACACTACCTTGATATTTATTAGTATGACATCAGTCAATTTAAAGTTGCCTTTTAAAGTTACATTTAATTAGATATTATTAAAACAATTATAAGTATCTAAAAGCCTTTTAGTACACAAAGTCTAACTGTAGGATACCCCACATCAAAAATTTTAGGATATGACAGTTTTCATACAACTATATATCTAAACTTCGAGTAACATTGTAGGATGTGACACTTTCGACTTTCATACTAAGGGAAACATAGTAAATTATGACACTTCACACTTTATGACAAATTGGCTAGTATCTGTTTCGGTTAACAGTGTAACATCTGCTTTTTCTAGCATTTTCCATAATTCTTTTTATTTTTTCACAAAACAGCCTTGACAAACATTCAAAACAATAGCACTACGCAAAATTTAGTTTCAATATATGCCGATTTATCAATTTGGTGCACGTTCAAAACTTTATTAGACCGTACTGAAAAGTAGCGTTTTGTAGTTCCGACTTTGGTAATAGATGTTCTATTAATAATCCTATTTGGGAAAGATCATGGCTGCTCATACCTAATAAATGGCTTACGGGTTGTTGCAAGTGACATGTCCTGACTGCTCATTCAATGTTGTCTCCCATTTTGAAAGCTGTGATGACCATTTTGAAAGCTCATTATGAGCACATATAGTGCTCATAATGAGGGCATTCAATCCTGTAGAAGCATTGCTGTGCCAATAATCATATCACCAATCATAACATTGACAATCACTGGTGTTTTGATTGCAGCTATACTGGTTTTAGATAGAAAGTTCAACATGTTTCATAGGTTCATCAATTCAATCTGCACTAGGAAAGAAATTAAGAAGGATAAAAGAATCAATGAACTGACAGAGATCATACAAAAGAGGATAGCGATGAAGAAAGCTAATCAGCCAGGTCAGAACTCGCTTTACCAAAACTTAGATGATCCATCTCCACCTGGGAGAAGGAAACTCTTTGGTAAGAAATCTCCAGCCATATCTTTGATAGGGCTTGCAATTGCTAATTCACTAGGTTCAGCTAAAGCATGTGATGATTTAATGTTTCTAAATTCTAATGGCCAAATGTTTAGGGATAATACCCTTAGTGAGTCATCAAATGGAATGTCAATATTCCATGTCGGATCTAGTTTATGCCTGAAATTTCAGAATGGCTCCACTGCGTCCATAACTCTGAATAAACTCACTAGAATTGATTGGGTATGAGGCAATTTACAAGGCTTGTGTTTCAAGATTTAAAAAAAAAGAAAAGAAATAAGAAAGAAAGATTGAATTAAAGAGCACTTATAGTTGTCTGGGGTCTGGATACTGCTGGGATGAGGGGTCATGTAATGCCAATTCCAGATTGCAGGCTGTTGGCCCTAATGCTTATAGCTGTTGCCAAATGGTCAACATGGGTGTATCATATCTCCCAATTTGTCTTCTAGTGGTTGCACACATGAACAAATATGTATATGGTACTACTGGAAGATGATTCCTACCATCAATAAATGTGACCCCATCTATGAACTCTCATCAAGTACCATAATAGCTCATATGGACTACACAGACCCCAAAGGTAACATCATTCCATTTAGTTTATCAGAGTCCAATCCTATGACAGTTTCACCCATAATGGCCCATGTGGTGACATTCCAGACTCATCAGAAATTGCCTCCAAAGAAGATTAGAAAACATAGTGATTTATACATGGCAACAGTATCAGCTGACTTAAATCAGGCTCAACCTGGCCTGCTTGGTGATATGCAGGTGCAGTTAGGGAACTCAATTGCACTTTTGTACCCAACATGGTCCATTCAGTGCACACCTGATGGATCTAAGATAACATGCAATGCACCTGAGTCGGGGTATCTAAGATCACTAAAAATGGATTAGGAGGATTTAGTTGACGTGGTAAAGTCATCAGCCAACTCAGTGAATGTTATCTCAGATGTTAGGGGCACTATGTCAATGATGATGAGGGGAAGTAAGGATCCAATACAAGTTGTTTTTGCAGCATCTTGCTCGATAAAAATTGATTGCTCTAATTAACCCCCACTTGACATGAGAAAACCATCACCAGGTTCGTTTCAGTGTGAACGTTTGGGCCGGTATTATTAACGACCAATTTATAGGGCCTATTTTTATTGAAGGTCATCTAACCGGCAACTCGTACTTAGAGATGTTAAGGACAGTAATATCTGAGTTGGTAGACGATGTGCCGTTAGCTTAATCGAGAGGTATGTACTACCAACACGACGGCTGTCCCGCTCATTACGCGAGTGTATTGCGTGCATACCTGGACAATGAGTTTAGTGATCGGTGGATAGGGCGAGGAGGGCCTGTGCCTTGGCCACCTAGAAGACCGGACTTAACGCCCCTGGATTTTTTCTTATGGTCGGAAATAAAAAGACTTTTTTATACACGGGAATATGAAAGCCGTGATGATTTACGCATTGCGATAGTGGACGCTTTTGATAAAGTGAAAAGTTATAGAGACACTAAGAAGATTAAAAAACTTAAACGTGACGTTTGTGTATTGAACGCAGCGGACTCCATTTTGAGCAGTTGCTTCGATACAGAGAAGTGTAAATAAACTGTAAATAGATATGTAAGTTAATTATTCTGTAAATAGCTCCGATTTGAAATATTTATACCTACAGTCCGTTGATAAATTGATTTGTTGTGAAAAGAAAAATCGTGGTTAATAATCGAAAAGAAGTTTAAATAAAATAGGTATTTCCGACGGTCCTAAGCCCGTGTAAAGTATGAAGGACAAACTGGAGTCTATCTACGTAAGTACTCGCTAGCTCGCGCCTATAGGTATACTTTTATCAGCTGCTGTTAGCGTCAGCGGTGCGCAGCGGAAGCCCAAAACGCGCACGGACGTGTTTCATTCATATAAGAATGAACGAATGATCAGTGCATTACTACTTCCCAAGTCGATCGAGTAAAAATGAATATTAAAACTGAAACTTTTTTTTAGTCAACATTACAATTGATTTAACCATTTTTATTGGTACTATAGATGATTCCAAATTAAAATGTTTCGTTTCCAAAACGCCTATAAAAGCACCGTGTGTAATAAGCCTCTTACTTAACTTTGAGATATGATAAAGCGACGAAACAGCGGGTACCAATAAATTGTTCGAATATAATAAAAGGCTTTAATACCCCCATGGTTTTATTGCAAGGTAAGCAGAAAGTGGACAAATCGCTTGTTTTTCCATTTTTTGGACGTGACCATTATAAACTCTTGGCTAGTATATTAACTTTAAAACAGACCAGATCTAACACAACGCAAATTCAAATTTTGCAACTACTTTGTGTAATCTTGGCCTACAGAACAATGGTTCTAAAGGAGTCCGCCCAAGCTCTTCGTCTTTAGAAATCTGAAAAAGAAACGTGGACCAGCACAAACTATGCCTCCTAAAGTTGTCCGACGAGATAAAACAGACCAAAATGGGGATGGAAAAATGGGGAGATCTAAGGGGCATCATATGCTTTAATAGAGACAATAATTGTTTATATAAATTTCATCATTAAAAATATTGTTGTCTTTAAGTTTTTAATTTACACCTGATTCCCTATACATAGCATACTTCGTGAAATGCGCACTGTGGCAGATATGCGACATAAGGTTTTTTCATTTTCAGTGGCTGTGAGTCTACACTTAATTTTTTTCATTATTTTTCCCGTACTTTATGAACCTTAACATACTTAAAAAATATTATTTTACATAAAAAAATCACGCTTTTAAGGGTTAAGTACATATTTTGTGGTAATTTATGTTTGTTAATTTGAAACTGAGCGGCATTGTCAAACCTGACATGGCTCAGTAAAAAAAAAGTTTTTTGTGAGTTTAAAGATTGATCAAATTTTAATATTCTGTTCACCGGACAACAAAGCAATTCTAACAAAAGTTCAACACTTCTTAACCGGTGGAACATTTAAGTTATAATAAGTCCTCTTTTTTACCACTGTTTTCAATCCATGGTGACCTAGATGGTAACCGTGGTACTACTAATATTGTAACCTAAGCATTAAGCACATTATTAAAAAAAAAACTCAGCAAACATTTAAATTTTGAAATGATAAAATTCGTTTTGCTAAATTCAAATCCTCAGATTCTTACGTCAGACCATAATTTTAACACACAGATAAAGCTTGACTTTACATTATAAAAGATTGTACTCGTATAGAAGCGACAGACAATGATATTACAAAATTTAATGACTATGTAGAGGCACATGTATGTATGGTTTTATTAATGATTACACAAGAAAAACACCATTTATGTTGTATGAAATATTTTTCATGAATTTTGGTCCTTGGGGGAGGCCGGTAGGCCTTCCTTCAGCAGTGGTAAATAGTTTTTCACGCCGATTTAAAAAACATATGCTGTTTCTATGTAACAGCTCTAGTTTAGCGGCTATGAAGTGGCGGGGGATTTTGTATTATATTTTGGAAGTTTGTATTTTGCTTAGGTCACCGAGATTTTCAGTGAATTAGTCTAGATGGTTGTGAACGTGGTGAAGCACAGTCATGTTGCATCCTAGTCGCTGAAAGTGTATGAGGAACTGATCAACGTGCTGAATGTAGCCATCAGACTTTCTACTTAACGAAAAAAATATCTCACTACAACCTCTACCCATGCACTTTTCTAGGTGGCTCTGATGTGTTTGTTTTTTTAACATCTATCCACTTCCTGGTGTGTGTTAGCTTTGATTTTCTCACTACTTAATTTTGGAAACATTTTTACAATGTATTTAAAACATTGGCCATCTTTGACTTTTTTAATGTTACGACGAAGTACATGGTGTGTCATTAGTATTCAAGATTTGTCTTATAGTAAATTTTAAGTTGGGAACTATCTATTTCGAGTAATATTGTTTCATAATTTCGATACTTGCTGCGCTATCCAGTGTCGAATATCGGAAGATTACAGCTGATAGGACTCTGCAGATTCCTTATATGGGTGGGGTTCCTTATATAGTGTGTCTATCTGGAACTATTCAGGTAAATTTTGATATTTATATAAAAGTTTAGGTTCTATTTTGTTCTGTAATATATCTACTAATAAAGTTCGAGTTCTTATTTTAGAACTGGGAAGTAACCAATTCTAAGGAACATTCGTGTGTCGTTGATAAATCAAAAATATTTAAATGAAAAAGAAACCGATAAAAGATGCAGAAAGAAATTTTGACAAACCTATTCCTCTACTATACAGTCTGTTTCATATTTTAAAACAAAGCTTTTAACATCATATTCTGCACTTTATTTCTAGACGATTCGCAAAATATGAACAAAAAATATTTAGTGGTTTAGAAACAGGTTTTTTTTTTGTTTTCGTAAATTGCAACATCATGTGTACATGCAGTCATAATACATTGACCTCAGGCGGCGATCAGCTGTAGGTATACGCGGCGCGGTAATCACACGTTGCCGCTTTTACTACACTCGAATCGAACGAAATATGTTGGTTATTACGTCATCACGATGAAGGACACGCGTTTTTAATTAGTTCATCCAGTAAGGACAGTCAGTCGGCCCTTGGTCACCGGCGAGTGTTATGCTATTCCGTGTCCTCGTAGATGCGCTCACGACAAATAACCGTAATAATAATATTGTTGTTGTTTATGCGATACATATTTGTTTAGAAAAGTTTTCTTGTGGTAATAATTGTTTAGTGTTATTGCTTTCGTCATAATACACGACAATGGTTTGAACAATTAATATTATCGTGTGCGCAAGACTTCGTAATGTAACGAGTCCTGCTAATTTTATTTTGCAAAGTGACAATATTAGGTTCTGTGTGTAGTGTAGTGTGAAACTGAGTGAATTTTCAGTCTTTTAATTTTATTGGGTTATCGGTATCAACATCCATAATGCCGTGAGTGACCTTCACAGCCGCGGAATATCCTGCCATGATGTTAATTTATGGTAAACTCTATCAAAACGATTTTTTTGCTTTACGGACACGTATGGAGTCAATCGTGTATGTCCTACAGACTGCGGAATTTTTGTAAGGCCGGTACAAAGATTACGAGACAACCAAGGTACCTACTTTTTCAAGGAGTGACACGTACTGCTGGGTCTGAAGCTAGTCGAGCATTCCCAAAATAAACACGTGAATAAAATCATATTCTTTATAAATAGATTTTAAAAAGCAAGTGAAGTGATTGGTAGGTAGGTAATAAGAATGTAAAGTTCGCCGGCTCGTCGCGGCGGCGGCGGCCGCGGCTGCGTCGTTTTGATGTCGCCGACATTGCGACGCTGCCGTGTAGGTACAGTTCACCGACTCATGTTATCAATGGTGTTCTAATTCGGAAATTATTTTATTGTATTTAGTTTGTTCTAAAGGACATGGCCAGTTTCTGCCTAGTTTTTTGGTAGCATGTACATTAATAACAGCCTTATGATAAGAAAATAAAAAGAAATATATAAATTATGGCATCCTTCATATTTCTGTCTAACTTCCGAGTGTTAACACAAGATTAAAGAGTTTTTTTTTTTTATTTCCTATACATTCAGGTTCTGCGCCATTTTGAGAAAACGTGTTTCCAGTAAAAGTAATGTTTACGTATAAAACCAGCGTAAATATGTAAAAATAATTACGTTGGTTCAAAATAGTACTAAAGATTAAAAATCAATATAGTAATGATATTTATGTACATATATAAAAATATTATAAATGATTGTTATTAATTCATAATAATTATACTTCTTTGTGATTTGCTAAACAAAACGTAATGCTATGTTATCATGACAGCGGATCTGTCACTATATTTTAGAATTTTGGCATTTTGCTCACGTTGTATTATTTATACAAAAGTACCTACCTACTTTGTGTATTATTTACGCTTGCGTTTTTGTGTGAATAGTGCGATTTTCAA